AGAAATACCACTATAGAGCTGATTCACATCCGTCCTTCTCCCGCCGTGGGCACTTCTTCTTCGGCTCGATGTTGCTTTTGCTTCGTCCATCCTACAAGAACATTAGAAATAACACTATATAGCTGAATCATATCCGTCCTTCTTCGATGCCGTCTCCAGTGGCCCGTTCGGCTCGATGTCGCTGTTGCTTCGTCCATCCTGCAAGAATACACAAAATAGAAACAATACTATATAGCTGTATCATAACCGTCCTTCTCCGATGCCGAGTCCAGTGGCCCCTTCTGCTCGATGTCGCTGCTGCTTCGTCCATCCTGCAAGAATACACAAAATAGAGATAATACTATATAGCTGTATCATAACCGTCCTTCTCCGATGCCGAGTCCAGTGGCCCCTTCTGCTCGATGTCGCTGGCGCTTGGTCCATCCTGCAAGAACACACAAATAGAAGTAACACTAGCTGATTCATATCCGTCCTCCTCCGATGCCGAGTCCAGTGGCCCCTTCGGCTCGATATCGCTGGCGCTTCGTCCTTCCTGCCAGAACACACAATTAGAAATAATACTAGCTGATTCATATCCGTCCTTCTCGGATGCCGAACCCAGCGGCCCCTTCGGCTCCATGTCGCTGTCGCTTGGTCCATCCTGACAAACACGTACATACAAACAACTCTATATGTAGATTATAAACCACTCTCCGATCGTGAGTTCTGTGACTCCACAAATGCCCGGGCCCAGTCGGTGTCAGTTGCGAAATCCTGCCAAACACGCAATAGCACACAGCTTTTCCCAATGAGATTTACTCAATACTCGTCCTTCAGACGTGGGCCGCGGCGGCCCAGCTTCTTCGACTCCACGTTGCTGTCGCTTCCCGGATCCTGCGAAAGTATTCAAGGCACCCACAAAAAATCTTGCGTGTGCATGAACTTTACACTCCTCCTCCTTGGACGATGTCCCGGGGCCCTCAACATCGCTGTGGATGTCGGAGTCGCTTTGCGCATCCTGCAAAAACCCACAACTATGAATAACTCTTCGTCTCAACCTTACACTCGTCCTTCTCCGATGCCGAATCCGGGCCCTTCGGCACGTCGATGTCGCTGTCCTGCCAAAACACGTAACGAGAAGCAACTCTTCTGCGTGAACCATAGTTACTGCGTCCTCTGCCACGGATGGGCCGATCATCTTCGACTGGCCCTTGTACACCCGCAACAAGATGCAATGAAACAACTATGGAACCTCTAAATCAATTTGGCCTTCTTTGGGGAAAGCTTCTTGTTCCTCTTGCCCATCGTCCGGTCACACTTTGACTCCTGCAACATGACGGGACTACAAAGTAATTGTTTGAATGAATCATGATCATCACGAAATCCTCGGGCTTCTCGGAGCTCGAGCTCACGGCATCCATGATCTTCTCGGCCTTTTCGAGGTCGGTTTCTTCATCCTGGAACATGCAAACACTTGTTGATCATGACTGCAACATGCACACATTAACGTCCTGCTCCGCAGATGATGTCGGCACGCTTGGAGGCTCCGGCTCCTTTAAGAGACAGGTGCCATAATTAAAATCCAAGCATCACAAGACATGTCGCTGCACGTTCAATCCTTGACATCGTCATCATCATCATCGATAACCACCGGCCACGGTTCGAAGATAGGTTCATCTAGATCCACTTTTGGACGGGGCCGACACAACCAGGATCCCGTCGGATCCTATAATGCATGCACATCACACGAACACATGTCAGGTTGCAATCTTATAGAGGCAGTCCTTTGGCAGCCTCTTGCCACTGGCAATCATCTTCGTGTCATCCTCATGCATGCAATGCACACTCGCTCACTCCAACATGCACTATCACAATGCCTCGTCCTCGTCCTCGCTCTTCGGCGAAGATGGCGGCGTCGGTATGTCCGACGCCCCACAATACGACACCGTTGCCTCTGGATCGAGGCACTCGAGCGGAAAGAGCAGCCCGCACGCAAGTTCATCGAGCTTCATGTCCATATCGTTGTCGCTCCACTCCTCCTCGGAGCTAAGCTCCGCGAGCAGCGACATGGAGTCCCGGTCGGAGAAATCCTGCAAGTCATAGGGTTGCATGATGGGAGAAAAAATGAACGTATTTCCAACCTGTCCTCATCGTCTTCCGACCGATCTCCCAGCTGTCGTGTCGACGCTTGCGAAAGCAGGGGCTCATCCTCAGATCGTGCAACATTACACTAGCGAAGCCCAGCAACAGCACCATCCTCAATCGGAGCGGCCTCCGTGGCAATCGAGGCGAGGTAGTCGTCCTCGATCGCCTTCTCCGCTTCCTTCTTCTCCGTCTCCGTCTTCGCAGGTGTCCTCTCCTCCAAGCGAAAAGCAGGGCAAACTAGAAAGCAATCTCCATGCCAAACCCTCTCAAAGGACAACAGGCGACTTCGGATCCTTCGGGCGAAGGTCGTGCTTCAAATCCGCGATTCTCGTGAAGCGGCTGTTCTTACCTGGGATCCGGTGCTTTTGCTAATTGCCAAATGGAACCGATCTGCAATTGAGCCGCTCGATCGAAAAAGGTACCTCAAAGATTGAAGGAGCTTCTTGATCTTCACGGCCTCCGCGGCCGCCTTGTTGATCAACGACTCATTCGGCTGGACGGGGAAGAGCTTCTTCCCGAGCAACTCGTTCAGCAGAAGCAGGGTGTCGGTAACCATATAAGCGCTCGGCACCGTGGTTGGAAGGGCTTGAACCCAAGGCTTCAGGAGGAAGTAGTGGCGGGACACCTCACGCGCTGTCGGTCGCGCAGTGTCCGACTCCAGTCGGACGATGGCACCGCCCCTCCAATTGGGGCCTTCTATCAAGTCCTTGACTGCCACAGGCAGGTGCTGCTCCATGGCCGCTGCAATGCCCTGCACCTTCTCGTAGGTCCACTTCACTTTGCCAGCGCCTGCACGTCGCATGACTATAACTACCACGCATGAAGCCCATGCAAAGATCGGTGCACAGAAGAGGTGCATGCTCCACAAATCATTGCAGCGAAGTCGCGGACCGACCGCCATTCAGGCGGTGCCGCGGCGTCGGCCGCGGCGTCAGCTGCAGGGACGAGTGCCATGGCCGCAGCAGCACCGGCCATGCACAGACCCTAGGGCCCTGCACTTGGAGCTAGTGCTGTGCTGTGCCTATGATTGCCCATGCAGTGCAGCCTAACGCCCCGAGAGAGCTTTGTGAAGCTGACCCTCGCGAGTGCCATGAGCCTGCCTGACCCTGGAGTGAGCCTGCGTGCCATGTCCGTCTTTCACTCTTCGGGCCGTGCCGTCTGCGGCATGGGGCACTGCAGGTCTTGACGCTTCTCTCACACAAACACCCTTCGTGCAACTGTGCAGTTCCGTGAGCCTCCCAAGCGATGTTCATGAACAGCTGCACGTGCATCAAATCATCATGGGCCTGCCGGTTCACCAAGTCTGCAGGCAAATGTTCTAGCGAGACCGCGGGAGCCCGCCTCGAACTGCTGACTGCTGATCCATGCTTCTTCCGCGAAAGGGAGCTCATGGCATGCATTCAGAGCTCTGCTTCAAGAAAACTCTATTGTTCGCTCCGTCGCATCCCTCAAGATGCAAGCGCTACAACATGAGAATTGAAATTGTCGCTTCGAGAAGGTCTGTCGCAGCATGCTCTCGAAGCTGCCATGGAAGATTTCTGCTCTCGGACAGCAGAGCCGCCAGCAGTGCTTCGACTCGATCGTCTGAAATCTTGCAAAAAGGACATGAGGGCTGTGATGTTGGGAGGCTTGCAAGTTCAAGCGAGCGAAAACTGAGAGTGTGTACGAGAGTGTGCATGTGTATAATATCTACATATATATATATATATCTATGCTGTATGTATGCATGTGTATATATATATATAGTCTTCTTCTTTTTTCTCTCTCGAGGCGCTGGTTATAATGACAAGTTTGAGCCGAAAGTGGGGTTTTATGGGGTTCTTTCTGTTTTTTCGTCCCGACTCAAACGCATAGATATAGTCAAATCTCCGTGTTGGAGATGTTGGAACTATAAAACATCAGTGGAAACAAAATACATCATAATGATGTACGCTGCTCCGGCGTTGCGCAAAGTACACTATCGGAGCCTCACGGTAGGCCGGTGCATGCGGGACGTAGGTTACCTTGCAAGCGTTTGTCTCGGGCCATGGAGGATGCCACGCTGCCAAACGGCACCAACGGCACAGACGGCATGGCCGGAGTCATCCTGGAGCTGGTGGATGAGCGGACGACATTTTGGGTGCTGACGATGGTTGCCACGTACGTGGGAACGTTGGTGTTAGGCACGCTGATCCTGACCTATGGGCCCAAGGCCTGCCAGGCCTTCCGCAGGAAGTGGAAGAAGCGCCCGGAGGCCCTCCTTAGGAGCGGCGACGTCCCGGCCACTTTGCACGGGCAGCCGCAGGATGCACCAGATGGCCTCGAAACAGAAGGCATAGACACGCACGTGCCGCCTACCGATGCAGAGAGTGGCAAGTCACCCGGCAACAAATTGAATCAGAAGCGGGCCGTGCAAGCGGCCTTTCTGGCCACCTGTGTTGCTTGCATGGCTGCCACTGCTTTAAGCATGGGTTACGGCCACCTCTCCACAGAAACAGGGCTCAGTTGGGAAGGATATGCGACGCTGTGTGGCCTGGCCTGCATGTGGCAGCTTGCTCAAGCCTGCATGGCAGCGTGGCAGCTGCCTGAGCAGCGACAGTATGGAGTGACGGCGTTCGCCGAGGGCACAGTCACTGGAATGCTTCCCCTTTTATCCGACAGCTTCGACACGCTCAAGGATAGCCTCTTCGGAGGACTCTGCCTGCAATCCCAAAGAGGACTGACGCAAACATTGGGCGTCGTGGCTTGGCTGTACCTGATCGCCTTTCACCTGGTCTTGCTGCGCCGAGCCAGGTTCCTGGCAGAGCTCGGGAAAAACTACTTGGCGATATTTCTGGCGCCAACTCAGGCGAAAAAGCTGCAGAGCGGGGCCTCCACCCAAACAGACGGGACCCAAGATGCCCAGCAGAGGCCCTCCTCCTGCGCCAGCTGTGTCCAGGAAGCCAAAAACAAGCTGCTGCCCATGGCTTACGCTCAAGTCACACCCACAAAACGGTGGCTCCCCACAAGCCTTGATGGCGATCGCCTATTCGCATCTGGAAGGGGGCAGCCTCCTGGTGGCCCTGCTCAATCTGGCGATTCCGCTGGTACAGGTTCTCGGCTCTTTTGTTCTTTGCCCAATCCTACGCCCGATGGTGGCGCCCTGGTATGCCACCCAGCTCGATGCCGCGGCGGCGGACAGCAACCTCCTCCTGATGAAGCGGCTCTTTCTGGAGGCAGATTTCCACAACGACCGTGACTTCTTCGTTCTCGTCACCAAGCAAAGCGACTTCCTGAGCGTCTTCTACAAGATGTTCTCGGACAGCCCAGACCTTGCCAGCATGAGAGGTGATGACACGCTGGAGTCCTTCATCGAGGCTTTGAGCACAAACAGGCTAAAATTGGCAAACGGGCTACTTGTGGAACACACTCTGAGCGAGGGGCAGCTTCGGCTTTTCATGCAGAAGTTCCCCTGGCTGGGTGCGGTCTGTTTCCTTGGCTGCACAATCGACGGCCAGGAGCTGGCGGGGGTCCTTGGGCTCTGCACCGACCTTCGCCACCTAGAACTTTTTAACATTGCGCTTACCAGCGAGGGCGCGGAGGCGATCGTGAAGGCCGTCGCAGACATGCCACTGGAGAGCCTGGATTTACCACAGAACGAGATCGCAAACATCGAGGCGCTGGCCGCTCCACTGAAGCGAATGGCGTCATTGAAGGAGCTCGATCTACGAAACAATCCGCTGGAGCCCGGCGGTGCCAAGGCGCTGGCAGAAGGTCTCCGAGGTCACCGAGCCCTGGTTGATTTGGGTCTCTGTGACATTCCGTGCGGGGATGCCTTTGCCGAGGCCTTGGAGCTGTCCACCATGCGGACGCTCCGAATATTGTGGATGTCTGATTCCAAGCTCACGGACGAAGGGGCCAAGGCCCTCGCACAGCACTGCAAAGGCCACGGTGCGCTGGAACGTCTGTGGCTGACAAGCAACGAGATCGGGGATGTCGGGGCCCAGGCGTTGGCGGAGGCCGTGCCCACCATGACCGCGCTGGGAAAGCTGGATCTGGACAACAACAAGATCCAGGCCGACGGCCAAGAGGCGCTCAGAGCGGCGGAGCAAGCACATCGAGGCTGGCGACTGCGACGACCGGGGCTGGAGATAAGCCTGGACAGCCAGGAGAAGTCGACGGAATGAAGAACCAATGATGACTAGCAGCTGAGATTCAGAGTTTCATGAAACTTGCAGAGATAGCTGCGAGTCAATGCTAGTTGTCTGGAAGAAGGGGCTGAAGCGGTCAGGGATCCAGCAGGGTCTGAGAAAAACATGCAAGACCTCGTCTAGGCCCTTCATTGACCGTAAATCCAGAATTACGAGCTACCCGCAGTCTCCTGCAAGTTTCTGTTCTCCATCAGTTCCGGATCTGTTCCAGACCGCATTGCGTACTATCTAGCTGTTTGTCCGTCTGTCTGTCTGTCTGTCCGTCTGTCGATCTGTATATGTATGTGTAGATGTATATGTACATTATTATCACCGTATATCACCGTTGTATCTACTATGCTATATTGCTATGGAGGTTGGGGGTGGCAAAGTCATGCTGGACTTGGGGAACTGCGATGTACTTCTGGCGTGCGTGGGGTGTACTAGGGGTTTAGGGTTTAGGATTTCGTTTTTTGGTTCTGGGGTGCATGGGGCATATGGGGATTGTGAGGGAGAACTCTGGCCTGTCTCCAATGCCGGACTCTCAGCACGAATTGGCACGAATGCTTTTCGGCCTGTTGCCTAGACCACGAAATCAAGAAATCAACGCTGAAGCGCATCAGGTTGTACATCTTCTGCCAGGACCTGCCTGCATCTGTTATTGCTGTGCTCCGTGATCTAGTGTTTGCGCCTTAGCGTTTGGCTCTGGGTTACGGCTTGGAGGTCTTAAGGCTTATTCCAACATTACAGACTTGAGGTTTGTTGCGACCACTAAAGTCGAAAATCTGACAACCCCTCGTAAAAGACAACCCCTCGAGTAAAGCCTTTTTTGATGGAACTTTTATAGAAAAACTTCTACCAGAAGATAGTGACCCAGAGCCCTTAACCCACCCTTAACCCACCGAAATCCCAAAGCTCGCGACTGGTAAGGCCCATTTAGGGTTCGGGGTTCAGGCAGAGGTTTGGGTTTAATGAGTTTAGGGCCCTTAAACTCGACGGTAGGGTTAAGGGCTGAAGCAAAGGTTTGGTGTTTAGGTGATCAGCATTGAGTGAGCATTTGGGTTCCGGGTTTTGTGTTCGCGATAACCATGGTCATAAACAATAGTGGAACCGGTTATTTGACATTTTTTGATGGTAATGATGATGATGATGATATATATATATATATACATATATATATATATATGATAGATAGATAGCACTTTTCACGCTTTTAGGGCTTGGAGTCATGCCGACGCGGCCCTTTTGGGGTGCACCTAATTTGAGCCCCGAAAAAGGCGGTGGGCCCTTCATGCGAGCCAACAGTATGTAATCACTCGTGATGCTTGGTCGATCCGCCTTTTGAGCGGCAATCCACCCTGATCCCGGCACGGAAATCTGTGAGCACTTAGTGGGCCACAGCCGAAGAAGGCAAGCCAAAAGCGCGAGTACAAGAGGTGGGAAACACAACACATATATCAGACGACAGTGCGGAAACAACACTGCAGGTGGAACGAGGTTTTCTCCTGGGCCTAAGGAGCCATCTCATGCCCACACACAAACACAGCCCTAGGATGATACGACGCCTTCTCAGAGGCGACCGGAATCATCAGCAGAATGAGCAGAAAGCCTTCCACCTACAAGCACTAATGACAAAATCACATTCAGCACGGCAATTCGTCTTTCCATGTTGACTGACGGAGTCATTTTGAAACGTGGCCAGCCCATAAGGCCAGCATCTGTTCACAGCCACGTTTGGGTGGCGAAAGCTCTGAATCCACACGCTGTGGCTTCGATCCTGGCACTGGTCCGCAGCCCAGGTGTAAGAAGCGCTGCAGCCTGCGATGATGGTGGACTTGTGCGACATCAAATCATCAATGATGGGGCCGTCGCTGTTCTTGAAGCAGCACTCTGTATTTCCCCAGACAGCGTGGCATCCATGGGCCTCGTTGTAGCACTCCCACGACAAGAAATCGCGGTGTGCCCTGATGTCCGCCCCCTCCGAGGTGCAGTGGTAGACACGAGCTGTGATGTCCTTACCAATTTGTGCCTCCCGTTGCTTGCGCTGGGAGTAGGCCTGGGAATCTCCTCGTACCACGGTGTCTCGTCCCCCTCCTCAGCAAGGAGGGAAATCCGCCAGCGGAGCAAAGATCATCTTGCAAACCTGCAGTGTACGGGTGAGGTATTGTGAACCCAGTCGCCCAGTCATGATAGAGCTTGTGATACCTGCCAGCAGAGTCTTCACGACCTCTCTGGGATGCACTTGTTCATTTGGCTTCCGGCATCGTGTGTCTCATGGTGTACCCCGCATTGGGTACTGGCGCTCCAGCTATCCGCCCTTGTGCGGTCTTCTGAGCTTTATGTATATATCTATATATATATATATATATATATATATATATGTATATGCACACACTGACTTTTAGGTATGTTGCAACATACCAGATCAGATCATAATAAATTATTGTATTATATTCTGTTGTCTTATTATACTGTTGTACTGTATCCTAGACAGAGGACTACTTCGACAACCTGGGTTCCCGCATGGACTTCTTGGCCCACGCGCTGAAGAAGATGCTCCTCTCCCGCCCACCGGGGGGGGGGGGTTCCGCGAATTTCGGTTCCTTTGTTTAGGGCTTTAGGATTCAGGCTGATGAAGGATGCCTGGGAGTTTGGATCCCTTCTGCTGGGTACATATGCTTACCCTACTGTAAGGGTCCATGTGCCCAAATGGTATATACTTCGGCCCTACTGTACCGATATAGGGACTACCTTAAGGCCGAAGTATAGACCTTTTTCGGTACATGGACCCGTAGGGTTAGATGTTCTCACGGTGGTTCAATTTGGTGGGTTCTGCTTCTAATGCGGGTGCTGACTTGGAGATTTCTGAATTCGTGGGCCTAGTTGTTGGGTGTCCTTGCAGCAAGGATTCTATCTATTGATTGTTGGATCCCTGGTTACAAACGGCACTTCCACGCAAACGGACAAACTCACGGTTCAGAAAGTAGGCCTTATCCCAAGGACCATCCTAAGAGCTCGCGGAAAAAGTATAGTTGGAGGTCTTTGCAGGTTTTCGGGCTGTTCAATTTTTTGGGATGGCTCCTTTGGTACTGACGGTTCGCAGATGCCAAAAACCAAGACCTCATACCCGAAATCCTGCGCGCCAAGCCCAATAGGTTTGACAAGTAGTAGGGAACTACGGGGTTGATATAGGGTTCTATAAGTAACTTCAATTTTACTAGCACCTTTCAGCCCCATCAGGCCTACAAAGCTTAAATGCCCGAAAGCCTTGACTCGAATGCCTCACCGCAAACCCCAACACCTAAACCCTGAAGCCCAAAGAAACCCTGAAACGCTAAACTAAACCCCAAACCCTACACTAAGCCATGAACCGTATATCTCAGGTATGAAAACAATGCCGCGACCTCGCTTGGCCCGGAGCCAGGACTCATATCACTCAACCTTAAGCGCTTGTGGACTCTTAGGGTTAGGAGTTGCTTTCCGGGTTTTAGGGTTTACCGTATGCTGTGGGGGGAAGCTCTGCAACACAGAGCCCTCGAGTACCTGCTATGACACCCAACTGCGATGCGGCAACACCCAAAGCTAGTTGGGTGTCAGACCTGAATTCGTGTCTTTTAGGCGTCAGACCTAAATTCAGTCAATATCGGCAGGCCTTTTCAAGATAGGTCCAATATGAGATTGTAAGTAAAACTCGCTTATCGTATACTAAAACATAATATAACACAGATTTGGGTTTTTGCAGCCTTGCAAACCACTGCGGGCTGCGGGTTTTTCGCCTTGTGGCCTGGTCCCCTCGAGAGGGGGGTGTCGGGGTGTATGGTGTAGAATTGAGAGGTTGGACGGTGTTTAGAAACGGTTCTATCAGCTTGGCTCTTCGGTGGAACTCCTATCTAATGTGGGTGTCGGTTTAATAGTGGGGTACCCCCCCCCCCCCCAACCAAAAAAATAAATTCTATTTAATATGGAGCCGGTGACGCCGGGACAGGGGTCAGGGGTCTGAGTGGCAGGGAATTGGGAGGTGCAGTGCCGGGGTTTGGGGGCTGGCTTGGGTGCAGGGTCTGCGGTTCTGCGCGAATGCGCGGTCGGGGGTCGGGGGTCTGGGGATCACCAAATGCTGGAAACCAAGCCCCGATCACTCCAAGATTACTACCAGGACTAAAAACCCTTCATTTTGAACACTTTTGCCTCCGTAACCTACACTCCCACACTGACCACGTCTGAAGCTTGGTGCGGTACAATAATAGTACAGTAGTACAATAGTAGTACAGTAGAAATAATACAGTAGTACAATAGTAGTACAATAATAGTGCAGTAGTACAATAGTAATACAACAGTAGTACAGTGGTAGTACAATAGTAGTACAGTAATAGTACAATAATAGTACAGTAGTACAATAGTAGCACAATAGTAGTACAGTAGTAGTACAGTAAACTCCTAAACCCTAACAAACCCTAAACCCTGAGCCCTAAACCCTTCCCAAAGGGGGGTCGGTCCAGATTGGACCCAAAATTGAATTTTTTATACAAACTTTAGTACTGGAGAGGCCTTTGTCGAGCAAGGGTCCAATTCCCAATTCGGCGGTTCACCCTAGCAGCCCCCCCAATAAGCAAGGCATACAGTAGCAGTACAATAGTACAATAGTAGTACAGTAGTAGTACAGTAGTAGTACAGAGTCTCATTCCTGACGCCCCAATAAGCGAAACAATTCTGCAAGAGATTTTCGGGCTTCAGGGCCAGGGTTTTAGGGTTGGGTGGGGGTTTGGGTGGGGGTTAGGTCGTGGCTGCCTTAAGATTGACCATCAGCAAATAGCACAGCCCCGCCACCAAAAAATCGCCCCAGCCAAAAAAAAACGCATTAATTAGAACACCCAAATTTTTGGTAAGATTCGGAATTAGCCCCGGAGCCGACGCATTGAAGGGGCCTATATTCCAAAACCGACACCCACATTATGCCATCCTTATTTTGGGGTTTCTTTTGAAGGATATACTGCGGAACC